GCTGTTATCCTAGGTATGCTGTCAGGCTCTGTGCTGCTATCCCAGGTAGGCTGACATAGTTCTCACATCAAGCTAGACTAGGACATGCGCTACAGCCAACTTTAATCCTTGACTATAGAATCCCGTTGAATTAAATACGTTTTAAGTCACTATTTAAGTCCTCAAGAAATCGTAGCAATTTCTTCCCTTTTATTTCCGTGTGATAAACGTGGTCCCAGCAATTTTGCTTTGATTAGGCTTGGCAGAAGCGTCGTGAAACTAATTGTTTTATTCTACTGAATTATTATTAATAATCTATTAACAGATGCAAGTTTTATCGTTAAAGTTACCATAGATAACAAGTGTTATTAACGTTGAATTTCCTTAACATTTTTGTTTAGTTTTGTGATACGTTTAGTAAAATACTCCTCCCACTAAAACACGGTTGATGAACCTCACACTCACTCACACTTTACAAAACACTTGATTTAACATATTTGAGAGGAAACTAACCCTCCTCCCTCCCTTGCGGTCATCAGGCAAGCGACGGAACGCTTGGGCATCCCACTCCTGTCTCTCCCTGGCACCCTACGCCCAGAAACTCACCTTCGAAGCCTACCACGCCGACGCCTGGGCTTCCATCGATACCCGCCTGTTGGTCAGTTAAGTCTACAGCCTGTACTGGTAGCAGTATTTGGGACGTCTGGGGACGTCACCTTTTGCACGTAACTAGGCTTAGGAAGTCTTAGTGGCGTTACCTTTTGCACGTAACTAGGCTTAGGAACTCTTAGTGACGTCACCTTTAGCACATAACTAGGCCTAGGGAAGTCTTAGTGACGTCGCCTTTAGTACATAACTAGGCTTAGGAAGTCTTAGTGACGTCACCTTTTGCACATAACTAGGCCTAGGAATATTTAGGTTTGTTTTTCCACTTTATATTTTTCTAGACTTTTATATTAATAGTACCCCAAAAAATATGGTTTTACTAGTGATCCGTCAATACATATTGATACCTTCAACAAGTTACTATAAGTTCTTTCATTTCGTTCAATCACTCATGCAAAGCTGTGGTGGTGGGGGGGGGGGGAGATACGCTACATCTTGAGGGAGGGTGAGAGAGACTCCTCACCTTGAGGGAGAGTGAGAGACACTCCTCACCTTGAGGGAGAGTGAGAGACACTCCTCACCTTGAGGGGGGGGGGGAAGACATGCTACATCTTGGGAGAATGAATATACAATATATTTTAATGAAACAAAATTTAAATCAAAATCTAACTTACTCAAGGCCTAGAGTTATGTCTCGACTAGGTTAAGAAGACCCGTCTTACGCTCCATTAGGTTTGGATGGTCTTAACAGACTGACCTGACAGCCTTCCTCATCAATGTGCACGTTCACTATCATCAATGGTTAATTAACACTGCTATACCAGCCCCCCGTATGGCTATACGGCTTATATACACTTCGTATATGGTCTCCTTGCTATATGGCGTAAGTATCGGTCAGTTAACGCTGAACGATACTGTTAAAGTCTTTTTTTTTAACATACAGTGTTTACACTCGACACACGACTCTTCTAAACTAACGTAAACACGAGAGTGGGACGAGACACTTAAGTGTAACTCCAGTTAATATTTACTGCAATAAGGGGCAACCCTTGCTAAGTGCGGCGCTCACCAATAGATGGCAGTGAACATTGCAATTTTTCCGTGTATTATTAATATTTTGGCTGACTGCTAGTTAGATTTTGACTTTATACAACGATTTAAGTTTATTAGATAAAGATTCTTACATTTTTTTCCCCTATGCAATTTCAGTGGGAAAATACCTTGGATTTCTTTTTAAAGCGTTTAACTGTTATTGAAATCAAAAAGCCTACTATATGCTAGGCTATAATTAAAAAATTTTTTACGAAAAGCAAACACTGGCACAACGGAATAACACTCATTGTCATAATATTTTATCAAGCTTTAATAAAAATAAAAAACTGAATTAAAATAGTTACTGTAGAAAGCCTATGTTACAATACTTTGTTTTCTCTCAATTTATAATTCAAATTCAAAAACTAATCATAAATGCTTTTACATTCGCGGTTCAAATATTCTACACAATATTACGATACATTATTTGACAAAGATAAAGTCTTATATTGTGGCATTTGCTCAGTTCCAGCCTTTTTCGCGTATTCATAAACTTAAGCACACAACAGTGTACTTATGGATAACTATACATTCATTTTACATTATAATAATACACTAACAAATACACATGTATAACACAGCAGTGTTTGTATATAGAAACTAAATTCCTAGCTCAAGTATTATCCTAGTTGTAACCATCAACAGGTTCGCTCTACAGGAAACCTAGCAGACGTGATAGCTCCCGCGGCTGGTCAAATGGGAACCAAAGAGAGGCAGAAGGTCCAGTGCTTCCCGCTCTATTCTTATCTACTGGCTCTCAACGTCACCTCCGTCCAGTATCTTAGCCTCGATGTTGAAGGCGCCGAGGCTGATATTCTCTTGAGTTTTCCGTGGGAAAAGGCTAACGTCACAGTGTGGAGCATCGAACACCGGCCTTACAATTCGCACTTCAGGGACCTGTACTCGAAGCCTCATGAAACTCCCAGCACCACACCGCAAGCGATGGAGAGCCGCAAGAAGCCAACCCTACACAAGCAGGACGACGCAGCTTCACCGCGGGTCGTTATCCAAGTCGAGAAGCGGGTCGTGTACACGAACCAACACGACCCAGCAGCAGGCAAGGACGACTACTTCGTGAGGTTCATGACAGAGCGAGGCTACGTTCTCTATGACTACTGGGACGGTGACTACACCTTCATCAAGAGGAATTCCAGCATTTGTGATAAACATTGTCCAGTTCTGTAGCCTCAGATTTATTATACAGTACGTTCGGTGGGGGCTTGGGGACTTTCGGAGCAGTGGAGAGGGAGGACCTGCTGCCTGGGTAACAGCTTCTCCATATCAACCTACCCTGGCTTTGCGCCCTGGTGAGGCCACTCCAGAGCACAACTCCATAGTCTCCCGAGACTGATGGATGCCTACTACTACTACGTTCTTGTACTTTGAAGTTCACGGAAAAATTAATTTGTAGGCTTTATTTTTGCCTACTTTTTTAAACTGTTTAGGAATATTTCTTACAATTCTTAATATAATTTAAACAATAACAACACACTGAAAGCTTCAGATGTAAACAATGTGTATTCTTACCCATTGCAAACTTTAACTGGTTATTATTATGTTACTGTTTAGTAAACTCCAGTTTACCTTCCTAAGTTTGGTGTTGTGCAAAAGGCCTGTCAACCTCTAGAGGGTTATTAAGGCCACCACAAACATGTAAACCAACCCCCAGCATGTATACTTTAGCCCAGGACTAAAGTAAACTTGAATATAAATATATACACCATCCCTGTAAGTTATTAAGATAGATATTATTAATTACTGCCGATGTACTTTCCTATTACCTCGTAAACTTTATGGAGTGGGGGAGACATTTTCCAGAAGTCGGATAAACATAGAAAAAAATTGAAAATACTAAAAATGACAAATACGTTTATCTTTTCCTTAACACTTTAACCAGCACAACCACGGTGAACCAGCACAACGGTGAACCAGCACAACGGTGAACCAGCACAACGGTGAAGAGCCTGCAACGCTGATTCCTGCAGCACAGACTAAAGAGCTTTCCCCTTCCCGGATAATGCGACATTCCAGCCTGCCATCATTTAAGAGCGACACACATATGTATACGTGAAGGTAAATTGTAAATTACATTCGCATTAATTAGGTTATTAAATACTCTCCAGTCTTTTTTCAGTAAGGAATACATATTATTAGAGTTTGTCATGATGGAAGCTTATGGATATTCTTTCACTCAACCCACATAACCCAGTTACTTGCCCTCATAACCCAGTTCCATGCTCTCATAACCCAGTTCCTTGCCCTCATAACCCAGTTCCTTGCCCTCATATCCCAGCTCCTTGCACTCATATCCCAGCTCCTTGCACTCATATCCCAGCTCCTTGCACTCATATCCCAGCTCCTTGCACTCATATCCCAGCTCCTTGCCCTCATAACCCAGCTCCTTGCCCTCATAACCCAGCTCCTTGCCCTCATAACCCAGCTCCTTGCCCTCATAACCCAGCTCCTTGCCCTCATATCCCAGCTCCTTGCCCTCATATCCCAGCTCCTTGCACTCATATCCCACCAAGGTGCTATATGGTCATACTGGATTGACACTGTCTCCTGAGACTTAGCCCAGCTTACCATTCGGAAGAAAAGACCTCAAAGAAGCCTCAAAAAGTAAATAAGAGAGAAAGTAAAAGCAAAAAGTTCTCGAAGAGTTCCCGAAAGTTGTCCCTCGAGTGCGACCACACACCACAACTTACCTCTTCAAAACATCGCCCCCAGAGCCAGACGTCAGCGAGTGCTGCGACAGCTGCTTGACTGGTTTACAGTCAGCTGCGGCAGCTGTCTGTAGCCGCATCCGTAAAATTGCGAAGTTTTTCTGGAGTGAATGGCTGGAGGGCATGGATCGCTACCATAGGAGGGTGGATGAACATGATGAAAAGAAGAAAATAAGGCAAAGAGAAATCATCCTTGAGCCCATTTTAGATCCTATTATAGAGGAAATAACAGAGGAATTTTAAAAATTCGCACATGTTTAAATGAAAAAATATCATTAGAGGGAGAGGACTGATGTACCCATTCTTCATCCCAAGTAGCCATATGAGATTTCTGTCCGGTTGGAGAGTTCTGCTCTTCAGGAAAGTAGTGTGTTTCAGTATAATTCTGAACAACTTCAGCGTTCTGTTCCATAGGTGGGTTCTGGTTTGATGACCTATTTAGCTTAAACTGAATTCGGGGAGCGAGATGCCGCTCTTGAGCCTCGCCTCGCAAGTCAATTGTAATGATTATCTCAATGTATTTTTGCCCAACAATACAATCACGATTTAGTTCATGCATTTTTGTTAAGTTACGGAGTTGATTTTGAACGTTTTCTACAACGAATTAAAAAACGGTGGTTTCAAATGCTTAACTAATCAAATCCCGTTATCAGGGATAGGAACCTTATATCGAAATTTATTAGTCATCCTGGCTTAGAACTCTCCTCTCAAATTTTATATTATAGCCATGGCATCAAAGGTCAAACTTCTGACCTTGCCAAGGATGCAACATACACAATAGTTGCCCAACTCCCGGGTACTTATTTACTGATAGGTAAATAGGTACGTGGGTATCAGGAAATGTACTTAGACGTGTTGACCAGACCACACACTATAGAAGGTGAAGGGACGACGACGTTTCGGTTCGTCCTGGACCAAGAAACGTCCAGGACGGACCGAAACGTCGTCGTCCCTTCACCTTCTAGTGTGTGGTCTAGAACCACACACTAGATGGTGTGGTTCTAGTTCACACACTTGGTTTTACAACCAAGTACCAATGAGTACTTGGTTGTAAAAACGATTCTTCGCGGCGGGGATCGTATTCCAGGGACCTGCCCGAAACGCTACGCGTACTAGTGGCTGTACAAGAATGCAACAACTCTTGTATACATCTCAAAAAAAAAAAAAGAAAAAAATATGACTACATCACCTGGAGGGGATATGACATGGAGCTCCAGATTGCGACATTGTAGTTGTCAGAAATTAGGCTGTGAGATCGTTGGTAATGGCAGGTAACTAAGTCAAAGTTAGTAATGGTAAACTCTTATTCAGAGCTGAGAGAGACTTTCAGCTCTATATTTGTGAATGCTCAGTTATCAACTATCTTTACCCATACGACTTCAGATATTCTGAGCTTTATATAACTATTTCATTTGCTACGAATATTAGGAGAGTCTCACGTTCTGTCTTAAGTCTGGTGGTACAGGTTAGTAGACTTTACTAGACTGAGTTCATGTTTGTTTCTCATTCCACTACATGACCAATCATCCTGTAAGATGGGTATATCAGGTGAACTTACAGCTGATGCTTTACCTTCTGTAATTTCTGGTGAAGAGTTGGGTAGTAGCAGAGGACCATGTTCCACAGAGACGCTAGAAAGAATTTTGTCAGTGTCAGAGTAGTTAATAAATGGAATGCATTAGGCAGTGATGTGGTGGAGGCTGACTCCATACACAGTTTCAACTGTAGATATGATAGAGCCCAGTAGGCTCAGGAACCTGTACACCAGTTGATTGACAGTCGAGAGGCGGGACCAAATAGCCAAAGCTCAACCCCCGCAAGCACAATTAGGCGAGTACTATGAGTTTGTCGAGATGAAAAGCGACTTATTTTCAAGAGGACGGGTTGCACCATGTGTCGTAAGAGGAAACTGTTAAATTGTATATTGACCAACAGCTAAACTCACTCTTATACTAACCTGCACTTTAAACACTCGCGATCCCGCGTCTATTGCATCATCTGTTAACTTATTCCACAAATCTACAACAATATTATTTCCTTCCCCAAGTAAGTAATTATCAAAAGAAGGCACCAAACTGCTTCCTTCCCCAAACAATCGTTAAACGGATTTCCGGAAAGGTTGGGTACAGGATGCAGGCTTTCTGGCACGGCACAAAGTAGTTTTTTTCTCTCTCCTCTCCTAGTGGAGAAGAGAGAGAACTCAGACCTATGAGCGTTCTCAAAGTTCTCTTCTCTTCGTTCTCAAACCCATCTTTAGGGTTCTCAAATAAAATAGCTCCAACAGTCTCCTCTACTCTAGTTTACACACGTGTTCCTTGAACACCATCCCTCTCAAAAACCCACGTTTTCTTGAAAAATAATCATGCCAATTTAGCAGGGAAGGATAATATTTTCAAGGTATACGAGGTCAAGGGGCTGGGATGTAAGGACAGGGGGGAGGGGGGGTGGATGTTGCTGCTGGAGGGTTGTGAAGGTGGCCATGTTGCTGCTGGAGGGCTGTGAAGGTGGCCATGTTGCTGCTGGAGGGTTGTGAAGGTGGCCATGTTGCTGCTGGAGGGCTGTGAAGGTGGCCATGTTGCTGCTGGAGGGTTGTGAAGGTGGCCATGTTGCTGCTGGAGGGTTGTGAAGGTGGCCATGTTGCTGCTGGAGGGCTGTGAAGGTGGCCATGTTGCTGCTGGAGGGCTGTGAAGGTGGCCATGTTGCTGCTGGAGGGCTGTGAAGGTGGCCATGTTGCTGCTGGAGGGCTGTGAAGGTGGCCATGTTGCTGCTGGAGGGCTGTGAAGGTGGCCATGTTGCTGCTGGAGGGCTGTGAAGGTGGCCATGTTGCTGCTGGAGGGCTGTGAACGTGGCCATGTTGCTGCTGGAGGGCTGTGAACGTGGCCATGTTGCTGCTGGAGGGCTGTGAACGTGGCCATGTTGCTGCTGGAGGGCTGTGAACGTGGCCATGTTGCTGCTGGAGGGCTGTGAAGGTGGCCATGTTGCTGCTGGAGGGCTGTGAAGGTGGCCATGTTGCTGCTGGAGGGCTGTGAAGGTGGCCATGTTGCTGCTGGAGGGCTGTGAAGGTGGCCATGTTGCTGCTGGAGGGCTGTGAAGGTGGCCATGTTGCTGCTGGAGGGCTGTGAAGGTGGCCATGTTGCTGCTGGAGGGCTGTGAAGGTGGCCATGTTGCTGCTGGAGGGCTGTGAAGGTGGCCATGTTGCTGCTGGAGGGCTGTGAAGGTGGCCATGTTGCTGCTGGAGGGCTGTGAAGGTGGCCATGTTGCTGCTGGAGGGCTGTGAAGGTGGCCATGTTGCTGCTGGAGGGCTGTGAAGGTGGCCATGTTGCTGCTGGAGGGCTGTGAAGGTGGCCATGTTGCTGCTGGAGGGCTGTGAAGGTGGCCATGTTGCTGCTGGAGGGCTGTGAAGGTGGCCATGTTGCTGCTGGAGGGCTGTGAAGGTGGCCATGTTGCTGCTGGAGGGCTGTGAAGGTGGCCATGTTGCTGCTGGAGGGCTGTGAAGGTGGCCATGTTGCTGCTGGAGGGCTGTGAACGTGGCCATGTTGCTGCTGGAGGGCTGTGAAGGTGGCCATGTTGCTGCTGGAGGGCTGTGAAGGTGGCCATGTTGCTGCTGGAGGGTTGTGAAGGTGGCCATGTTGCTGCTGGAGGGCTGTGAAGGTGGCCATGTTGCTGCTGGAGGGTTGTGAAGGTGGCCATGTTGCTGCTGGAGGGTTGTGAAGGTGGCCATGTTGCTGCTGGAGGGCTGTGAAGGTGGCCATGTTGCTGCTGGAGGGTTGTGAAGGTGGCCATGTTGCTGCTGGAGGGCTGTGAACGTGGCCATGTTGCTGCTGGAGGGTTGTGAACGTGGCCATGTTGCTGCTGGAGGGTTTTCAACATGGCCATGTAGCCAGAGGGTTGTGGGTAGCAAACTGTAAAAGTCCTCTATTGAGGTAAAGAATACAAGTTGTCTATTTCAGTAAGATTGTGAGAGGATGTGAACACTGTACTCACACACTAATTTGTACTCATTGGCTTACAAGTTGTGTAGGGTTACTGGTTTCTGCAGATACTTGTGCAAATCTTACACATCTCGTGTATAATCTCTCCATCTTGCATAAAAGAAAATATTCAACATTGTGTTTTACTTAAATACTAAAGCACATATACAGTACTTTTGGGGAATTTCAATTTTTTTTCAAGACAATATTCGAAGTGGCTGGTTAACAAAACAGCAAGCATTAAAAAGATAACTTTTATTTGCACTTCTTCCCTGGTAACGCTAATTTATCGAGGTGTTCCAGCGAACACAGGGTCCAGTACAAGATAATGTCGGCTTTCATTTTTTACCATCAAGTATTTTATTAAAACACTTGCGAATCATACCATCTTATTTAAAACTGGTACGCCACATATGGTTACATACGTGGGCCTCCCAATACCGTCTTTAATTACATATATAAATTCCATGTTATAAATTATTCCATATATGGCAATTAATATTTATCTTCAAATGTTTTGCTAATGCATGACATTCGTGACGAGACTAGCTAATGCAGGCTGTTTTAAACAGGAATATCTCTTTGTATCACCCATGATGAAGTTCAGATTAGTTGGTCTTATAGACATCGAGGGCGTAGAGGGGAGGGGCCACTTTAGATAACTTTTTCTCTCCTCTCGTACTGCCTAACGCGCATAGGCGGTACAATGGGAAGACAGGGATGAAAGATGAAGCAGCGTGATCGATCCTTGAGCTACTATCGCATGGACTATACTCCCAATCCATAATTAACAAACAACACTCAGCAGCATTAAAGTTCTTGACAATTTCGTAAATACATTGAATTCTACTACATTACTGCAATTAGAAATGCTCACCATCTTTATTTTAAACAGGACTTTGTGTTGTTTGCAAATTAGGCCCCTAATGGCTTTATGAAGGTAGCAAAGGAATTCATCTGATAATGACAAATAAATTAAAATAGAAAATGAATATCTCTAGCCCTGCTAGGCCAAACAAAAATGAGATCATGATATGACAGGAGCATGAGAAAAGCATGGACCAGTGTTGTGGATCGACCGCGCAGCTGAATGATACGATGATGTATGAGGAATGTTGTGGGGGTCGTCACAAGACAGCCACTGTGCTCGCACACTTGCCCTCGCCCACACCACCTTGGCCACTGCACCTACATCACTGGGACAACAAACAACCCTGGGCAACCATCTCGGCAGACCACGGGGAGTGTCAGGATCTACAGAACTATTACAATACATAATCAGCCTGTCCAAGGTGGCACTGGGATAAGACAAGATGAACAACCCCAATGGCTCTTCTTAAGACCCCAAAAATCTTTGTCTTTCAATCATCCAGTCTTTACCTTAGTAATTGAAAGGTATTCTATAACTACCTTCAAAAAACAAGGTACAAACCAGAAAGACAAAGCCAAACATGACAAAACCAAAGTCTTGGGGACTATTTTACCCCGCAGGAAACAAAACCTTTTTGGCAAATTTAAAAAGTAACTCTTACTTTTTATCTCCTATTCCAATGTATAAAAAAGATAGAAAACAGTAACAAAACGTAACTCTATGGGACAGGTGTGTGTGGATCGTGCGGGACGGGGCAACGTGTGCACAAGCCATGGCACTCCAGGTACACACATCACTTTTATAGGGCAGCCTCGTGTTGGGGTGCCATGCCTGTGCGGCCCTCCTGGGTGGGGGTCCAGCACAGGCTCCCTGAAACTGGGCGACACACCAGAGGGTGTGGCTCGGGAACAATTCCTTCCCTACATGTGGAGCAAGCAGGAATATTGCACCTTTACTACAGAATCACAAAGGGTTCCCTGGTTTTTGACAAACTTATCGAGATTCAAGTGATCTGCCTCTACTGCATACAATTCACCACTCTCACCACAAAATAAGTCTGGTAGCTGATACAGCGCTCTAGCAAAGAACAAAACTAGAGCGTTCTGTGCATTCTCAAATGCGACTAGAACCGACAAGCTTTTACAGAAGCCTCCTTTTATTTGAAAACATTTTTAAGCTGAACTGCCCTGAATTAACCCTCTGGCTTGTATAGCTAATTGTATTGAACCTTAAATCAATGCTCTTTTGAAATCATCCAAATAAATTGGGACTTAAGTGTCAACTATGACATTGTAAAAGCGTAGGCACTTACTGGGATTACTACTATAAACTTAAGTTACTAAGCACCACACACAAAGAGAAACATTATTCCAAGCAATATTACGACTGGGTCCGTTCTCAACTTACACACTAATAAAGAATTATCACAGTGCCCACTCCAACCGATCCACACACTCCTTCCACGGAGGGGGTAACTAGCCACACCGCCGCGCATTCCATAACCCTAGTTTACTTGACAGTGGCATTCAGGACAGATTCAAAGGATTTTTAATCTTTGTACTTAATTTGTTGGTTGTAGCCCACACTGCTTTACTTATTGGCACTCAAAAAATTAAAGAATCCAGGTAAAAAATGATGTTAAATGTCCTGAACTCAATAATCAATAAAGCATATCCATATGAAAATATATCTCAAAATTTTGTGCCTACATATATCAAACTTAATAAACAAATATTTTTTATATTTTTTTTTTATATTTGATCATTAATGAGCTGGCTAAACCTCCATTATATGTTATTATTGTAACATTACAAGGTAGAAAAACCTGAGGCTTATAAAGTTGGCTTACAGCTAGCCTTGCTGTTCAGACTCCTTGTCCACTGTCAGGATTCTAAACAACATAAACTTGCTTGTAGAGCCCAAGCCTAACAAGAATGAAAAATCGGTGCCATGCCAATACTTTATCCTGGCGTAGCACCTAACCCTGAGTTACTGGCAAGAGTGCCAGTTAGCCGGTGGCAGTGAGGAAATGCTCCGTGTTGAGGCTGAGAGAACGGAGCCGCCGCTGGGCAAGCCGCGACTCTGATGGGGGCGATAATCCGAAAGGCGGATCATCCCCATGCATGTTTTCACAATCCTCATCCTGGTTCATACTGAAATGCTGCAGCAAGACCCTGTTCAGCGCCATGCAGGATTCTGCAAAGAGTGACAGCTGCTGCGCGCTATGGTTCCTGCAAAAGAAAAATTTATATAACTTTACGATAAAACAAGACTAGCAGTTACGATAACTGCAACTTGGTAAACCTTTAATTTATTTCTAAAGTGAGAGAAAGAGTAAACTGAATTCACAAACTGAACAATTTATAGACAAAAAATTGACTTTTCCCACATGGTCAATGAACCCAGCTTATGGTTTTTAGACAAATTTTGCATATACAGTACAAGTATTTTTACCTTTTATGTTTCACATTTAAAATTTCAGAAAAGGATCATTAGGCAGTTTTACCTTTGATAAAATGGTTTGTATTTGTGAATTCTGCAGTATTTAGACTTGCCCAATTCGATGTACCGTTTTTAATGATTTTCAATGTAATTTAATCATTCAATTAAAATTTTTTAACTGATTGCATTATCACACTACCACTCATTCTAGATTAAATGCTACTTATACTCACTTCCTGATAACATTTGGCGTCTCCAGGCGGGTCGAGGGACCGCCATTTCTGATCCAGGGGTGGGAAAGGACCATCTCCGCTGACAGTCTCTGCGAAGCATCCTTCACCAGTAGCTTGCGAATCAGATCCTTTCCCTCCTCACTTATTGATGACCACTCAGGTTTGGGGAATTCATAGCTGCCTTCCTGGATGTTGTTGAAGAGGAGATCTTGACACTGGGGACAAGCCTCCCCTCGCTCCCATCCACAATCTTCCCCACAGTTGCCACAGAAAGGAGGGTAACCGCACAGAAGAATGTATGTCACCACACCAAGAGACCATAAATCGCACCGTTTGTCATAAGGCCCAGCATCATCGCTGATGAATCCCTCTACAACCTCTGGGGCCATGAACTCTGCCGATCCCACTGGGGTTAACAACTGCGGTGTCACCACTGGAGAGCTCAGGTTGGAATTGAACTTAATTCCAGAACCCAGGTCAAAATCACAGATCTTTACAGGGCATAGCTGGTCCGGATATACACAAAGGATATTCTCGGGTTTCAGGTCTCTGTGAGCAATGCCCTTGCTGTGGAGGAACGCCAAAGCCGAGGCAAGATCTCTGATCACCATCGATGCTTCCGCTTCGGTGAAATGCGTCCTCCTCTGGATATGGGACAACAGAGGACCTCCGTAGATCTTCTCAAAAACTAGGTAGAACTTGTCCTCCTCCTCAAAGAACTCCACCAGCTGGATGATATTTTTGTGTCCCTGGCAGTGGTGGAACATCTCTACTTCCTTGAAGACTCGCGTTCGGCTGTGTGATGGTACCTTTTCTATGATCTGTGGGAAAAAAAGTCACTGTTTAAACTAAGCAATCAAATTGATCTGGACAATTTGTAAATTAAAGTGATTAATGGTATAATGAAATGTGGCAATTGGAGACTAGCACAAAATATAGCACATCGAAATGGGTGCAAGTGAACTACTAGAACTCGATTAAAATTAAGAAAAAAAAAAAAAAAATAAAGTATAAACTCTCACCTTTACTGCATACTCTATGTCTGTATAGATGTTGACACATGTCTGCACTGACGCATATGCACCCTGCCCCAACACCTCACCGGTAAGTTTGTACAGATCTGAAAAGTAAAAAAAATAAAATAAGGCATCAATATTATGTACTCACTATAGGAGGCAAGATGATATAATCTTTCAAAGTCAAATTTAACTATTGTCAACATTTGTAGATTATAAGCCTGTCAAGATTTCTTTATTTTTTATATATATTTTTATTTATTTATTATGTGTAGGTGTACTCGCCTAATTGTGTCTGCAGGATCGAGCATCGAGTCTTGGATCCCGCCTAGTGTGTATATGTGTGTGTGTATATATATATATGTGTATATAAGTGTGTGTGTATATATATATATATATATATATATATATATATATATATATATATATATATATATCCCCTTGTTGTGTGTGTGTGTGTGTGTGTGTGTGTGTGTGTATATGTGTGTATATGTGTGTGTATGTGTGTGTATGTGTGTATATGTGTGTGCATATATGTGTGTGTATGTGTATGTGTGTATGTGTGTATGTGTGTGTATGTGTGTATGTGTGTGTGTATGTGTGTGTGTATGTGTGTGTGTATGTGTGTGTGTATGTGTGTGTGTATGTGTGTGTGTATGTGTGTGCGCATGTGTGTATATGTGTGCGCATGTGTGTATGTGTGTGCATGTGTGTATATGTGTGTGTGTATTTATGTATATACATTGTGTGTATTTGTATACACATGTAGTATATACATGTACTGTATGTGTGTATATGTACTGTATATATACATGTGTTAAAAGAACGAATACATTTACCCTTTTCTGGCAAGAGTAACATTTAAACTTTGCATCATTCCACTTCAATGTAAAATGCACAAAGAATGTAGTCAGGTGGCCCAGCATGTGTCAAAAATGATTACACCGTTTTGGTAAACTGGTTTATTTTAAACCTAATGCCAGTAATTATACTCCACAAAACTTTGTTAGCTTTAACTAGACCTTGTTGGTTTTAACAAAACCTTAACTAAGCCAAATAGGGCTTTAATGAATAACAGTACAGTATTTTGCACGAAAAAGGTATGAACTTTAATGGTGCATCATTTATGATGCACCATCAATCATACATGAAAAAATTGAATTAGGCTAAAAAATCCACTTGTGGACCACAAGTCCAGCAAGATGATTATGCTGATACAGAACAATATTGAGTAGCATTATTCCTGTATTGCATCTGAACCGAGTTCTGAGAGTTATCCTACTCCCAGCCCAGGGTATTCAGAACTTACAGTATTCCAAACTAAATAAAAATTAATAAAATGGCTCTTGTTTTTTCCCCAATAATTACCTTTAATGATTCGTTTATGTAGGAAAGTAAATTACTGAATTTAAAATATATATACATTCTCCTACTGCATACAACCCTTCAGACAATATATTTTTAAATTAATTTAAGAAAAAACTTTAAATAAGCCTTTTTAGAAACTTACCACTGAAAACACTGGCAACCAGAGTGGACCCCGAACGCTTCTTCTTGCGCCTCTTCCTTCTCTCCTTCGCCTCCTCGCGCACCTGCTCCAGATTGGTGGTGTCTCGTAATACGCTTGTAACATCCCCTGCAACAACAACAATAGAACTGTGAGCCACTGACCTACATTATGATATGTAAACATGGCTACTTGTTTAAAAATATGTCTGGCATTATGTAATAAAGATTAACAAACCACTACAAATGTGTGTACAGTAATCTTAGCTTCTCAATAGCCTTCAAAAATCTATCTACATCTGATGTGCAATTGGCTTGCTAGACTATCATTTACACCAACAATGGTACAACTCCATACTTTCTTCCAAGTAACTGAATACATAAAATATTCTACAAACACTAGCCAATATCCCTAGAAAATTCTAACTATACTAACCTTAAGTAAATGTTAACTACAGTATATTCCTATTTCAAGTAGACAGATCCAAATTAAAACTTTCACGTGCCAAATGCTGTTGTAACAAAAGCCGGTAAGTATTTCCGTTAGGAAGAGCATGGCTGAGACCCTCACCTGGCTAGGTGCTATTCTTGACTGCTGACGACACCACCCACACCCACACACACGCGTGCGCACACACGCGTGCACACACACCACAACCTGCGCCCATGCCAAGGAACCGCTATAATATTGCCTTTTTCCCTTATGTGACACTAACCTTTCCCACTACACCCCACAAAGTGGGTATAGGGTGCATAATAAATTAACTACACAAAACTATCCTATCTGCTTTGCTCTGAAGTTTCTGAATACACACACATACTCGGAATGGTGTTAACCATATAAATGCCTATTTCTTTATACCGAGAATATAAAAAGCAGCAAATGTCAATTGATAAATTGATAATGTTCAGAATTGGCGTAAAATTCCCATAGACTTTTATCGACTATCACCAAAATAATCTCTTAAAACTACAAAATGCAAAATCAACATAATAAGGAAAGGCCACAATTTTAAAACCGGTCTCAAAACTGAACAATATTTAATCATTTCATAACTAATACAGTAAATGACTTTACATTCTTCACATACATCTTTTACCAGCAACTTTAATTAAATCAGCACTTGCATCACAAATTCGTTTTCCCATCTACACCTCTTACATACATACATTCCTTTGGCTAGAATTATGGACAGTCCTTCATATAATGTGTTATATATATCCTAGTATTGACAAACCACACGTATTGTCATCTAACCAGAGACATTTGTAAGACAAAGTTCTTACAAACTGTATATTCTCTTAAATACGATGAAACACTATACACAGCTGGCTTGTATTGCAAGACTTGCATGTTCTCCCATACAACACATTCTCCTGACTGGTATATATAATATTGTCTGACAAAACCATTTTAAATTAAATTATTTTTCGTCTGATATTTGCCCCTGTATTCGCTAAAATGAAATTAAAACCGTTTATGGTCATGTCACATGCGAAATAATTTACAATTAAGTAATAAATTACCATTAAAACTTTCTTGGTATTCCTACAAGAGACATTCTTAGACAAGACATAAGACATATTCCAACAAGCACGAGGTCTCAACACCTCACCTTTAACCCTTCAAGACACCCTCGTACATCCTTAAGAGAGGTACAAGAACACCCGCTACAACGACCTAACCCAACGCCCCAGACAAGGAAGTTTCCAGAAAGATGTCAGAGCAACAAAACAAGAACAACAACTACACACACACAGACACGGGGCCTCGATGGCAACAGCCGTGGCTGCGTTGCCACATCTGGCACCCTCCCGCCGGCACTCCCTACACCACCATAGGTGCCAGCCCTGCCTCTCTACACACACACACACACACCAAAAGCACACATACATACATACACACACACCCCAACTCTCACAAACACACACAAACGAAAAGAAAGTATAATTTAAAGCAAGAAGCGGCCACACTGCTTTCTTTGTTTGCCAACACTCCTCTTGTCCCTTTAAAGGGTTAATTGCTCACATACACACACTTTTTACACCCCCCATACACACGCACTTTACACCCCCACACACTTTACACCCCCACACACACTTTACACCCCCACACACACACTTTATACCCCCCCCCACACACACGCACACTTTACACCCCCACACACGCACACTTTACACCCCCACACACGCACACTTTACACCCCCACACACACGCACTTTACACCCCCACACAAACACATACTTTACACTCCCCCACAAACACACTTTACACCCCCCCCCCACACACGCACTTTACACCCCCCCCACACACACGCACTTTACACCCCCCCCCCCCCACACACGCACTTCAGATTCAGATTCAGATGTTTATTCAGGTAAGGTATATACATACAAGTGATGTTACATTAATGGATTGATATATAGATAGAGCTAGTACATACAATGCCTAAAGCCACTATTACGCAATGCGTTTCGGGCAAGGCACACCCTCCTTGCGGGCACTTTACACCCCCCCACACACACGCACTTTACACCCCCCCACACACGCACTTTACTCCCCCACAAACACACACTACACCCCCACACGCAAATCAAGACGTGAAATCCAACTTTCAAAAGCCATTTGACATCATTTTTGCTCTTAAACTTTCACCAATGTACCTTAAGATTGTCTTACGTACCTTGCACCATCTTGACGGCTTGTAGAGTATCAATTGAACGAAGAATAATATATCACAATCAGCGGGAAGGAAGTTTAAGGAAGTAGAGAAGAGAAGGGAAAAATAATCACAGATTCTTGAGTAGCACTTTTGAGATGCTTTTGACTAGACCCTTCTTAAAACCGCCGTGGGGCCTCTCTTATTTTTGCACTATCACGTCGCAGACACTTGCTGGCGCCACACACACACTCTCTCTCTCCTGATGTCGTACCCAGCCGTGAGTTTAACCAGCTTTGGGAAGCTAGAAAAGGTAGGAAAAGATCCCGTTTTGGCGCGCGTACACTCCTATCTATCCATCTCTTTCTCTCTCTGTTGGCGAACTGCGTCGGGTGCCCGGCGGCGGCTCCTTATATAGGCCGGCCCGCCACCCGCCCGCACTGCCGGCCACCGCCATTATCCTCAACCCTATCCTCTCTCCACTCCGCTCTATCCACCTCTATTATTACTCATCATCCGTAGGCTTGGTTATCATATCCTAGGATATGTAGTAATGTATGGTGTTTGTGGTGTTATTCTCTGTGTGTTTAACGATGTTAACTTGATGATGAGGCAGTTGGTGGCAACACTCTTAGCGTCATCTCACGTACACAAGTCGCCAACTTTAAATCCCTCCAATGCACCTTGACATTGCATCAACCAAGCTTTAAGCCTATTTGCAAGAAAATTCATTACTCTGTACACTTCTTATTAACGTTCTAGTGTCACATTCAGTGATATAGTAATGCCGCTTTACTGATAAGCCATTTATCAACAGCTGTCAAGTGAATTAAATACGACTCTTTAACACGCTAAAACATTTTCTTACCAAGATAGCAAAAATTCAACAACTCCCTAAATCATTACAAACGTCAAGAAACACGTCATCGCAAGACACAAAACACAACACTTACCAATGATCTCAGGCTATTCAAAAGACACCTCGTGTATATATTGCAATATTAAACAAATATAAACAAGAACGCTAATATAATATCATATAAAAATCGAGCCCTTCGGCAGGTCCGTCTCCACGCTGGCAATGTTGTGGCGCGATCAGGGCTGCCAACATGCCAGGGGTTACGGCGTCAAGAGTCATTTAAACCGCCTAAGTTTATTTACATACAAGTACAAGTAATCGATGAAATACATTCAATTTATACAAGATGTTATACATAGGGAAAGTAGAAAGCTTTTTATGTATACATTGACTTACGTATAATATGTTGCCCATGTTGGTAGTCCCTAGGTGCGTAGAAAACTCTAGGTGGTACTGGAAGACAATCTTGTTTATCTACTAATTTTGCTCCCTTCTTCAAGGGGTAGACATTCAATAATACAACTTATCCTTCAAAATACACTACGTATAACCCCATAAACCCCCTTTATAATACACAAGCTTGACATCCTACACATACATCATACAGCTCCATCTTCATATACACGGGCAATGAATCATTTTGAAACGCACACGAAACAATTTTACAAGTAAAGTTCGCCCATCCCCCTTTAACCCCCCCCCCCAGAACCCCCTCCCCAGAGGGGGTAACCACCCCCCCTCCCCAGGTCAAGCCACAAACAACGACAACAACAGCAAATGTTCCGTCAGCACCCCGCAATGTTGCCAGATTTCAAGATTATACTTTAATTTCCCTTCTCAAATGTTCATAGAATACATTACACAGATGTTTGTGTGTATACACAAACTTATCAACAGGCTTAGTTAGTTTCAAACACTAGAGAGACATTAAGAGAGGTACATAAAGGGTTGAATCAAAGCATAGCGTTGGCCGCGCCGAGAAATGGAAAATGACAAGATCAAGCAGAGGGCGTGTTGTTGGCGGGGTCTGCAGGGGTTGGGCTCCAGCTCTCCACTCCCCACCCCCATTTAATGGCTTATACCTGCTTTTACAAGTGTGTGACGACACTTAACCTCGGCTCAATTATATGCCTATTTCACTTGCTATATAATAAAATAGTTTGCAATCCTCCAAAAAGGCGTGTGAAGCTTCCAAATGGTTTCCTGAGCGTATGCAATTTAATGTAATGGCCTATTTGTACTCGCCTATTTATGCCTGTGGGATTGAACTACTGCGCTCTGACCCCGGGGCTTTCCGGCCACCAGGGGGTCTAATGCAGTCATTCCCCCCTAAACACCCCCCATGTCGATTTTTTTTCGATCGTAGCGATTTTAGAAATTGTGAATGGAGTTGGCTTCTACTACCCGATTCAGTTAATTCCATTTTCTTCCTGTTACGTTAAGAAAAAACAGAACACTCAGCAGATGTGATTCATCCGTTGCTCAAGCCTCCATTCATACCTGCTTTGATCAAATTGTGCCCATAGTGAACACACTTTATCCACTATGTTACTTTTTACAATTTTAAAGATAAAAATTAGGTTAGATATTTAAAAACCTCGTCGAACTGGGGCCCCAGAATGCGCTTCTGCCTCTGATCCCATTGTGGCTCATGTGGGAACTTTAATCCAAGGGATTCCCACCCTTCTGAGGGCCAAGTTCAAGCAAGTTTGTCGAGACAATAGTTTCCCTGGGGAGCGCTTAGGCTATTCTATCCCTCCTCTAAGGTAAATGCGGTCACCCATCCAAATGCTGCCGCAACGTTGCTAACTTCACTAATCTCAGGTTTACCTGAATCACATTGGTTTCTTTAGTTTCGAACTCTGTTGTCTTCAATGACTATGGAATGTTTAGAACAACTTTGGCAATTTATTCAAATTTGACACGTTCATCAACCAGCTTATAATTGATATGTGGGGCCCCAAGCTTGACTGTGGGGGCCCAAAGCTTGACTGGGGGGGGGGCCAAAGCCTGACTGGGGGGGGGGCCAAAGCTTGACTGGGGGGGGGGGCCAAAGCTTGACTGGGGGGGGGCCAAAGCTTGACTGGGGGGGGGGCCAAAGCTTGACTGGGGGGGGGGGGCAAAGCTTGACTGGGGAGGGGGGGGGCAAAGCTTGACTGGGGGGGGCAAAGCTTGACTGGGGGGGGCCAAGGAAAAAGTCTTCCAGAGCAAATTATCACAAGACAAGCCTAGTCTGGTCTGGTCTGGTCTGGTCGAACTATGGAGAGGTATACCACCCAGAACCCACTAAGTATACCCCAGGTATTCTCACAGTTTACCATGTTAATGTCTCTTAACTTTCTGAACCCGCCTAGTTGTGCTGTTGGGGGTTGAACTTCGGCTCCTTGGCCCCGCCTTTCAACCGTCAACCAACAGGTGTTGTACAGGTTCCTGACCTTACTGAGCACCATCATATCCACATATAAAACTGCATGTCGTCAGGCTCCACCACATCACCTCCTAATGCACCCCATTGGGTAGCAGCCAAAGGGGAATACTTACCACTTTGATGCCTTCAAAGGTTAATCTTGGTTGCCATTAACCACACACCGTAGTCACACACAGCCTCCAAACGATGAGTAGAATTCAATTTCTTTATTATGCACCCCATACCCATCCCGTGGGCGGTGGTGTAAAGGATTACAGAGGCACATAATCGGTTCAGGAACTGAACCCTCTAGTTCCTTTAGCTAAGCAAGTAATGTTTGACGCTAGTTACGAAATTATCAATGAGTAGAGATGATCCAAATTACAAAAGAAGGTGCTGTACGTAACATTAATACAGTACCTACCTACGGGCTCACCATAGCCCGTGCTACTTGGAACTTTGTTCCAGGTAGCGAATCTTTAACAACAAACAGTACCTACCTTTACCCATGGAACAGGTCACACCCTCACATGTCCAGCATTCGCCTGCGAGGAAAGACAAGGTTGCTGTTAGTACACACTTTCCAACATAATTTGTAATTCACGAAATATTACTTGGACTAGCCTAATGATACGTTTCGCGGTTCAGTCGATAGGTTAAGTGGGTTGCTTAGGCTCGCTACGCTTCCGGTTAGGCTCAACTAGTTGTATTTTTTACAGTCTAGAGAACAAGCTGTCAGGGAAGAGAACAAGCTGTCAGGGAAGAGAACAAGCTGCCAGGGAAGAGAACAAGCTGCCAGGGAAGAGAACAAGCTGCCAGGGAAGAGAACAAGCTGCCAGGGAAGAGAACAAGCTGCCAGGGAAGAGAACAAGCTGCCAGGGAAGAGAACAAGCTGCCAGGGAAGAGAACAAGCTGCCAGGGAAGAGAACAAGCTGCCAGGGAAGAGAACAAGCTGCCAGGGAAGAGAACAAGCTGCCAGGGAAGAGAACAAGCTGCCAGGGAAGAGAACAAGCTGCCAGGGAAGAGAACAAGCTGTCAGGGAAGAGAACAAGCTGTCAGGGAAGAGAACAAGCTGTCAGGGAAGAGAACAAGCTGTCAGGGAAGAGAACAAGCTGTCAGGGAAGAGAACAAGCTGTCAGGGAAGAGAACAAGCTGTCAGGGAAGAGAACAAGCTGTCAGGGAAGAGAACAAGCTGTCAGGGAAGAGAACAAGCTGTTAGGGAAAGAAGCTTGAGTGATGAAGCTTGAAGCTCCAGCTTACAAACAACGCTTCCTCCCACCGGGGTGTTCCACTCAAGACAACTGTTTTCTTTTAGAGTGAGATGCCATAAAGCCTTTTATAAAACGGATGCGAGTGAGGCCTCTGCAGCCCGGCTCCTGTGCCAGGTAAGTCCACTACGGGCTCGCCATAGCCCGTGCTACTTGCAACTTTTTGTTCCCAGTAGGTGGATCTAAAAACATTACCACAACGTCTCTTCTACTCATATTCATAAGTATTCCGTGATAAGGTATTTACGCAACCCTTCAAACTCTCCCCCCCCCTCCCCCTCGGCGTATTACGCAGTCCCCTACACCTCCCTGGAGGGGCGCAGTTCCCCCCCCCCCAACCCCCCCGGGGTTTACCAGGCTGGGGATAGGTAAACTCACTACAATGAGTGTCCAATCATTACACCCTTCAGACCTGTCAGGACGAGGTACCTGGAGCCTTGTGACTGATCGGCTCTTAAATCTCTACTCTCCTAGTTGTACTTGCGGGGGTTGAGCTTTGAATCTCTGGTCCCGCCTCTTAACAGATGTACAGGTTCCTGAGCCTACTGGGCTCTATCATATCTACATTTGAAACTGTGTATTGGAGTCAGCCTCCACCACATCACTGCCTAATGCATTCCATTCGGTAACTATCCTGACACTGAAAAATAAAATCTTAATGTGTCTGTGGCTCAGGTTGAAAGTGAGAGTACCCAAATGTGTCCCCTTGTTCGTTGACCAGACCACACACTAGAAGGTGAAGGGACGACGACGTTTCGGTCCGTCCTGGACCATTTTCCAAGTCGATTTCTCTTCACCTTCTAGTGTGTGGTCTGGTCAACTTACTTTAGCCACGTTGTGACTCGTCGCCCTTCTTCCACCCGTGCT